CTCCCTACCTACCTACCTACCTACCTACCTAGCTACCTAGCTACCTAGCTACCTAGCTACCTAGCTACCTAGCTACCTACCTACCTACCTGCCTACCTACCTACCTGCCTACCTACCTACTTACCTACCTGCCTACCTACCTACCTACCTACCTACCTACCTACTTACCTACCTACCGACCTAATTACCTACCTCGGGACCTCCTACGTACGTGCCAACCCACCTACTCACGCAAGCACCTACCTACGTACCTAAACGCAAACCTCCAGAAGAACCGAACTCAGGATGAACCCCGTTCGCATTTAGGTGTTTCTTGAGCAGGTGTAAGGGGGGTGATCTGTAGAGTCGAGTATACGATGCAAATATTGTGTTTATATCATCTGGATGGTTGTCCTGACCCGGCACAAAATCGATGTACCCTGCCTAGACCTACATGTGTACCCTTTGCTATACCTCTACCTATACCTACTTACATGCAACACATACACATGCATGCATACCCTGAGCTCTAGAAACCCTATAGCAAGCCTACACTCTCTCTCTAGACTCTATAAACCCGAAACGCCCTGCAACCCTACCTTCGATACCTTCAGACTGAAGCTGTGCCTGCGTTGGAGCGAAGGTGCCCTGAATCCTGAAAGCCCCACGGTGTTATTTCCTGTAGCTTTGGTTCTTTCACACTTCAATCAGACCTTCGGGGGTTTTAGAACCTTCTGAGAGTAGGTGATAGGTCTAGGGTATAAGGTATATAAGGTAATTGGGGTATATGGTCTAAGGCAGAGGTGCAGGTGTATATATGGGTATATAGTATATAGGTACATAGGTATTTAGGTATAGGTTGTGAAGCTATAGGTGTAGGTGTAGGTATAGGTATTGGTGTAGGTAGGCATAGGGCCATAGGCGTAGGAAGAAGGATAGGTATACGTAGAGGTTTAGCAAATTATGTACAGGAAGGTAGGTAGGTAGCTAAGCTATAGCTAGCGGGGGTCGCCCTGCGAAGGCGTAGGCTCTGTGTGCAATTGTAACGCACAGACCAAACCAAAAAACAAAACACCTTAAACCTACAGCGCTGAAAACGAGGCCAAAAGCCGCCTATCAGATTGGGGTTCGTTTCGGGAATGGGATTTTGGGTTCAGGTTCATAATCTTCGAGAAGAAACAGGTAAATCCCTATTCACCCCTCAAGTCCCTCCAGCCGAGTCCTGCTGCTCCTTCAACGATGCTTCCTGCTGCAACACAGGGCTTGCTAGCTTTCTGGGAACCAGAGACTTGAAGACCAGTTGGGGGTTTTACCTGGGCTCTTCCCCTGTACTGCTTGGGCTGGCATCTATAGGTCCTGATGAAACGAGTAGAAAAACTGGCCCGTTTGTTGGTGGCAACAATTGAGTGCAAACTCCGACACCAACTCCTCGAAGCCCAGAACCATCTTAAACGTCAATCCCAAACCGCTCCAATAAGTATTCTGTGAGGATGCCTCGACTGGTGCTGAGCAACATTGGTGCGAAGCTTCGTGCCCCGGGCGGGGTTGATATCATGACTTGCAATCTTGTTACCGGTCGATGCTATGTGCCAAGCATTCATGTCATATCATATCCGATTGTGGGCTTTGCGGTCTATGTGTGCTATTATATGAACACAAAACACGCCCATATAAACAACCCAAAGGTGCTCATGATGCTCGTCCATGCAAAAGAACCTACTGCGAGTTGCGAAGATACAGGCGGAGGCTCGAAGAATTCGGAAACGCAGGCCCGAGGCCCATGTTCACACCCAGTGCCGCCAATAATCCCAATTCTACGCACTTGGCACCGAGAATTCTACAATTCAGGCCCGAGGTCTCCAAAATGAACCTTTCAGCCCAGTACCTATACTCGCCGAGCCAAGCCCGAAAGAATTCAAAGAGGACAGCGAGAACAGAACCAGAAGACCACGGAAACGACGAGAGCAAAGACGGCTCGTTTGTTCCCAAAAGTTTTTTTTTCTTTTTGGTTTGTTTTTCTTTTTTTTTCGTTAAACCATCGAAATGGATGCCGCGATTTGGCGCGAGAATGCCGCGATTTGGCGCGAAATGTTGCGCATTGTAGCGGATATTTTTTTGGCACTGCCTCATCAAGTCAACAGCCCACCAAAAAAAAAACACAGGCAACGGCAGCTGCGAAGACAAAACCCAAGCGACGATAGCAAACGAAGCCCCAACTCCGAGAATCGGGCACCGCACCGGACCGAACCCATGCAAACAAAGCACCGAAGCTGAGAAACGAAGACCGCAGCCGAGAAAGAAAACAGAACCCGCGAGATGGAGACCAAACCCGAGAAGTGGAGCACCGAAGCCGAGAAAGGAAGGCCGAACACACGAATTGGAGAGCGAACCCGAGCAACGGAGAGCGAACCCGAGAAATGGAGCACCGAACCCGAGAACCGAACCCGAGAAATGGAGCACCGAAGCCGAGAAAGGAAGGCCGAACACACGAATTGGAGAGCGAACCCGAGAAACGGAGAGCGAACCCGAGAAATGGAGCACCGAACCCGAGAAAAGAATACCGAACCCAACGCAAACCGAGCCCGACAAAGGACAACTAAACCAGACAAAGGCACACACACACACACAAGCACGGGTTCCGAATAGAACACATATAGCCTCAAAGCCCGCAATATATATATATATATATATATACATATATACACAACACACAAATTATCTGTGCCTGCTTCAAACATGTCCATGCCCGCGTGATCACATCTGGTGTCGCATCGTTGCCAGCTACTCTCAAAGCGCGGTTTGTGTCGTTTTGCTGAAGAGAGCAAAGCACAGCATGGCTGGTGAGAAAACCAAGACCAAGAAAGCTGCTGCAACAAAAGAAGTTGAGGACCGGGGAAGAGAGAGAGAGCGTGGGCCCAAGAAAGAAAAGAAAGTGAAGGAGACTTCTAAGGAAACCCCCAAGGAGCCGAAGGAAACCCCCAAGGAGCCAAAGGAAACCCGCAAGGAGCCAAAGGAAACCCGCAAGGAGCCAAAGGAAACCCGCAAGGAGCCGAAGGAAAAGCGCAAGGAATCCCGCAAGGAGCCGAAGGAAACCGGCAAGGAGCCGAAGGAAATCCAAAAGGAGGCAAGGCCAGCAAAGGCAAAGGAAGGCCAGGAGACAAAGGCAACAAAAGGAGAGGCAAAGGACTCCAAGCGAAAGGCCACGGACGAGCCGAAGGGTGTGTCATGGAAGCAGGCCAAGATCGTTACTCAGCCAGCAGTTCCAGCCCCAGCCGCCAAGCCCGTGCTACGACACCGACACCGGAGCAAATCGGCCCCACGGGACGCGGAGCCTGCAGGCAGTGTTGCCGGCAGCGTTGCCGGCAGCAGCAGCGGTACCAGGACTCCGAGTAAGCTGCACGACAAGAAGGAAAAACGCAAGAAGGATAGCCCACCGGCCCCAGCATCCACACACGAGCCCGCCGCAAAGAACTTGGAACCCATCTTTGATGCGGAAGCCAGCAATGATGAACAAGGAGACCTTGACGTGGACGAAATGCTTGCGCTGATTGAATCCTCGGAGTCCGAGGGAGATTCCTCGGAGGACACCCGCGAGGAAGAGGAGCAGGAGGATGAGGAGATGAAGGGTGAATCCGAAGGCGAAGGCGAGGATAGTGGGGAGGAGATCTCCGACCGGGAGGATCCCGAGTCAAGTGAGGGGTCCAGCGAGGACTCGAGCACTAGCTCAGAAGAGGAGGGCGAGGAAGGGGAGGAGGACGATGCCGACGGACCGAGCAAGCCCGCCACGGAGATCGCAGCTGCTGCAAAGGCAGCAGAAGCAGTGACAAAAAGAAACAGTGGCTTTGATTCGATCACAAGTATATTGTGTCTATGTTCTCAAACGGAACATTGTCTATGTTCTCAAACGGAATATCAGTGTGTCTGCGGTGGACTGGGCATCTGAGGCATCACGCACAAGAGGGAGTGGGACACATTCTCCCGGCAGTGCCAGGATCGCAAGAAGTTTCCTGTGTCGCTATCAAGCCACCTCCAGCGCGACAAAACGGACTTGTTTAATTTGTGGCTCGACAACAACCAGGACCTGTCGAAGTCCCTTGTCTATAAACTAGCAACGAACCAGCTGTGATGATATTTTTAAATGAAGGATGATAACCATAGTCGTCGTGATGTGAAACACAACAAGGGTGGCAGTCGCGGTGGAGCGATCTGTGCAGCAGAAGATCACGTCGCGTTCTGGGTTTGAGTCTAGCAAAGCCAGAGACATCATGAAGCAATATGGTGAAGCGAAGGGGCTCAAGCTCATCAACGCTTTGAAGGCCAAGGGCCGCTACTACTACGATGAGGAATTCCCGGATGATGAGGAGGACTCTTGCTTTGTCTGGTGAGTTTGGGGTTTAGGGTTTACACAAGGTATAAAATCCTAGAGCAAGTGCCGAGAGCTGCCAACCATAAAATTAGAGAATTCGGAACAAGGGCTCAGCTTCTTTTAGTGTTTCACTACATAGGACTGTGCGGGTTGGGTTTCAGCCGCCAATATATCCTGCACAACCTTGAACCCTAAGCCCCTAAAGTTTGGCCGTAAAGCCTATGAGCCTCAGCCCTAAATCAGGTTTTGCGTTGCTACGGCCCTGTGCTACACAAACCTCGAACCCTACATCCCTAAAGCCTCTATAACCCCCAAGCCCAGAGAGCTATCAAAGATGACCCCAAAGGTAAGATAGCAGCTTTTGGTCTTCAGCCACCATATGCTATACGAGGATGAACCCTAAACCTCTATATACCCCATCTATGAGTCTATGGTTCCCAAACAATGATTTTCCCACGCAGGAAATCTTCTACTACACCCACGCCCCGCGCAAGATTATGAATGACAACAGCACCGCCAACAAGCTGAAGCTCGAAGGCAAGGAGACCAACCCGGACCAAGCCCTCGTCGGGTCCCTCACCGGCGAGGAAGGTCCGCTCCACGCGGGTGCCATGCCTGGCATGAAGATCCAGAGTGCAGAGGGGGAAAAGGCGATGGCCGAGGCATTGAGCAATGGTGGTGTGGTTGGTAAGATCAAGCCACCTAAGAAGCACCGCCCCGAAGGGACCGAGAAAGTGCTGCCCACGACTTCGAAGGAGTACTTTGCTGCATACGATGTTTTCTTGGTGCCCCAAATGCTCCAAACCTTTAGCCCAACTTAAAAAAAATCAAGCTCACCTAGGGTGTAGGGTTTAGGGTCCAGGGGTTCATACCAAAAACCTTAAACCTGTAACCCCTTGAAGTCCTAATCTTACACACAAGAAACCCAAAAAACAAAACACCCTAGCCTGGTCTCTTGATTCGATTACTTATCTGAGGCGTGCAGAAGCAGTGCTAGACGATGTCCTAAAGGACAGTGGTGCTGCGAGAAAGTTGGCTTTGAGCCTTGAGCACGTGCACTACGGGGATAAGTTGAAGCAGGAGCTCATGGACTTCAGTGCGCAAATGGAAGGCCTTTACCGGAAGCTGCAACAGCTCATCCTCAAGAAGGTTACCAAAGCCAAGAAGTACGACCCGATCCTGATTGACGTGGAGGCAAAGAATGCTTGGTACAAGACTGCAGAGGCCGGACATAGCCAAATCCGAGAACCAGCCCAACCCAACACCCTGTCAACGTGCTCCAGTTAGGTGTAGGGTAATAGTCAGGTGTAGGGTAAATTTACAAGGCCCCTAATTGGACGCAAGCTATTAGTCTATCCACCCTGATACCACCTATCTCGGCCCCGACCTCTGTGTTCTGCCCAGAAAGCAGCGCGCGGCCTGCTGTCGGGATTGAAGAAGAAGAAGGCCAAGGCTAAAGCAGCGGCTGAGAAAGCCACCGACAAGCCCGTTGAGACAACCCCGGATCACGGTGAGAACAAGCAGTGATTTCCGAATCTAGATTCTGTCTAGACTTTTAATCTTGATCTGTCACGCAGTGACGGCTGAGTGTTGTACCGGGAGGATAGATGCCAAGCGTAGCCGGCCGTTGGGACATTGCTTAGCTTCGCCGCCGATGGTGCTATGGTCCCTTACGCAAGAATACTTTCAGGCTTTCGAAACAGTCCAGGGTTTTCAGCTTCTTTAGCGGCGTGGCTATCGTGCAATGGAGAAAGGGTTTTGAGAGGCTTGGTCCCCTCCCGAGCAAGGATCCGTTGCGATGGTGTGCCGAAATGATCTCTCTGCTGTCAACAGCCGCAGAACTTAGACTTTCGGGTTTAGGATTTCGGACTTAGACGTTGAGGCTCTGGTTCGGGATCATAGTTCTTTGAGTTAGGGACTTGGCTTGAGGTTTAAAGGCCTTTAGTGTTTATGGGGTTTAGGGATGTAGACACCCTGGACCCTACCAAGCCCTAACCTTACAAGCCACGAGAAGTAAACCCTTCAATCAACCTGGTCTCTAGACCCTAAACCCTAAGCCCTAAACCCTAAACCCTTCAATCAACCTGGTCTCTAGAGCCTCCGTCAGGTACGACTCGTGATTGCCAACAAGCAGACGAAGACGAGGGTCCTCCGAGGCACGTCTTGCCGCCCGCAAAACGATCCCAACCCGGAAGCATTGAGATCCCTGGTTAGGTTGGCCTGGGACCAGACATCCCGAAAGCGAAAATATGAGGATATGCCCCACAGCCATGAAGCTGAATGCTTCCTTCGTCTGTTGGCAGAATTAAGTTTCAGAGACCACTTTGAGCTCAGCCGACAACACTCCTAAAGCCCCCCTAAACCCTAAACCTTATAAAGTCCTAAAGGCCTAGCCCGAAACCTCGAAAGCAGGTCTGATTGGTTCTGGCCGATCGAATATCAGAACATTGACGACCGTGGCACAAGCACAACTACGCGATGGTTTGACCCCTCCTGAAGTGATCCGCCACTTTGCAAGCCTAGGCAATTATGGAAAATGTCCTCAAAACGAGGAAAGAGATCTACATCGCTGGTTGAAGGATTTGCATAACTTGCAGCTGCAAATCTACTACTTGCGTGTGCGTGTCAATGTCTGTGACCGAGTTGCTGATGTCTGTTCTCACGCAAAGTTGTAAACATGGCTCGTATAAGCCGCTTGCCAGCAGCCTATAGTCCCTACTGTCAAGGTGCCCACCTCAAGCAAGGCAGAGGATGTTTGGATTCCAACGCTGTTGCCGCACGAGCTGTTGCATGCCGTCGCCTGTGCGGGTCCCCTGCAGGTGCGCGGGTTTGAGGCCCACACTGTTGAGTCAATTGTTGTGTCCCATGCCTATACACGAATCGTGCTACCAGGTATCAAAGTCCTTTACTGGTGATTATGACAAGGAGGCCATTTCTGAATTTTGGAAGCACGTCCGGAACCAGGACGAATGGAAACATCATCCTGTGTTTGCCAGCTCGAGCGATGAAGAGCTGGGCCGTCTCTCGCTTGCAACTATTGCTTGTGTTCTGTGATGTATTCTCTCTTCCGGCTCTTTTGCATGTATTGTGTTGAGGCACAGTTCCTGTCATTTTTCATGTTGACGGTGCAGAGTTCTACACCAATTCGGAATATTTGGTGTGGTCGATGGGGAGTGCTCTGGCTGCTGGTGATGCCACTTGGCTTCTCTATATCTGTATGTATGCACTTACTGCACTTCCTGTTTCCCTGTGCGACTTCCATGAGCATGCTGTAGGTGTGGGATATCAAATTTCCCACGGTTGTTTTACCGCACAGCGCGATGCATGATGATGAGGAGCCGTCGATCAACATTTGCATATGATCATGCTTGTGATTGTGCAGCTCAATCGACACCGTTTTGCTCCTGTAGATTTAAGCCCTAAAGAAGGTGGCGGCTGAAATCCATCGACGTGTGGCTCAGCTGATGGCCTGGAGTTTGAAGTCTGCCCGACAGGGGGTTTTCCCATCGACTGGTTTCGACGGCGAAAGCTTCGACCCCAAATCTTTACGTTTCAAACTTAAAGGTCAGCCGCTGAGCCGTGGACTGAGGCTTGGTCTTGCATGGGTGGTTTAAATTCATCCGACCGCGGGCAACGATTTAGTTGTAAAGATTTCAAACATAAAACGGGCGGCAGTAGCTAGTCTATAAAATGATATTTTGGAGATTGTTGCAGGGCCGCCTATTTCGGCATGAGATTCGATGCCAAAGCGAGAGTGGAGGCGAACTTCTTCTGGGATCGATACTATCGTTGCACGTTCTTGTGCGAGTCCTGCATGGCAAACCAGCCGACAAAAAACAGTATTGAAGCCATGAACTTCAAAGATTTTCGTCCATGTGCCCCACATCGACTCACTGAGATCAGTCACCATACTTACGTCAACACCTGCTCCGAAGTCTCTCCCTGGGCGGCTGTTGAGGGTTGGACGCTGGGGACAGCATTCAGGGATCCTATGCATACATTTTATTTGGGCATCTTCAAGGACTTGATTCCAAGCCTCCTGGGTGAGTTTCTTCATTACGATTGTCTCCCTCCCCATGATGGTTCCGATCAACAGAAGCTGCGGGAACTATCCTTGGAGATGCACCGTGTCTGTCGAGAACACCGGTCCCTTTCGATATTGGCAGCCTTTGCTGTTGCTGTTTCTGTTTGCTAGAGTGTGGGTGTGCGGGCGACGAATGAGTTCATTAAGTGTATCTGGCTGGGTGGGTGGGTGTGGGTGGGCGTCTGTTTGCTTTGGGAACATTGTGGTGTGTCGCGCGTGTAAGGTGTGTGTTGTGTGGCGGCGGCGGTGTGTGTCTGTGTGTGGAGTGTGTACGGTGTGGATATATGTGGGTGCAGGTGTGTGTGTGTGACATCTCAAACCCCAGGCCCAAGCTTATAACCATAGGATCTCTATGCGACGCCGACAGTTTACCTTGTCGAACACTGGACTGGGCTGCAAAAAAACCGAGTATGCTGAGCTGGGGAGCGTATGGAAAGCCGCTGATATCAAACAGATTGTGTGGTTTCTCACCAGGAAAGCCATTGAGGTGGCGAACAACAGAGAAGATTCTTGGTCTTAAGTTCTAGGCTCTACCCACGACTTGAATACGAACTTCTAGTCTAAATAGCGCCCTCAAACTTCCAACTACAGGCCTGAACATCCTCCGACCCGAATGGCCCTGACAATTAAGGAACCGGTGCTGAAAAGCTCTGCAGCATGTGCGTGGTGCTTCCATCAGGCTTTATGGTACTTAGACCAGAACGATCTCATATTGCCTCAGGGTGATGCGACTGAATTTCATGATTTGGTCATGAAAGCTCTGCTGCATTGGCAGGGCCTTGCAACACACTGCATCGTACAGAATATTTGCAGATGGAAGATAAGACCGAAGCACCATTTTGTGGATCACATGGCACGAGATGTTCGGCGACATCGACTCAACCCAAGACGTTTGATGTCGTGTTTCCAGGACGAGTCATATTTGGGACAAGTCAAACAAATAGCCGTCCACTGCCACGCTGCTCAGACCATGAAGCGTTGTATGCAAAGATACTTGATTTACTTGGCAATCCGATTCAATGACAGCGCGGGGGATTGTAAGGCTTGACCCTTGATCCCGCGGGCAGTCCTCTTGCAGAAGCCGCGAGCGAAGAGCTCTCTGATCGCGAAACCGCTGTGTGAAGGGGAAGAAAGCTGTCTGGGGTGATTATCGGGAGTTGAAGTCGGGTGCTTAGGGTTTAGGGAAGGGGTTTCTAAAGAGCTTCGCCCAGCCCGAGATTTCAGACTTAGGTTGGGGATGTCGTGCCTGGTGTTTAGATTCTAGATTCTACAGCTAGGATTGGGCCCTCGTCATTAGATCTTTCGGAATCCCTCAAACTTACCCCGATCGAGAGCCTAAAACTAATCCCGTCAGCAAACTCCTGCATATATTACTCCATAACCATCAAGATCCCACACTGTCCGATATCAACTTGAGACTCCAAATCCTAAAGTGCCAGAAACCTAGAATCATGAGCCTATCCACTCTAGAACCCGATAATTGGCCCTATAAAGCCCTAAACCCTAAAACCCTAAAGCCCTCAACCCTAAAACCCTAAACCCTACTGAAGTCCCTAATTGTTTTTTTTTGACTTTTTTTGGTGTGGTTGTATATAAGGTTTTTTTGGCTCGAGCGGCTCAAGGACAAAGAAATCTCTTGCCATCTTCACGAGTCCCGTCAATAGGTGCGAGCTTTAACTTAACACTATGGCTTGGCGACATCTTGGGCTGACCTTGCAGCTCGTGTTGTTTCTGGCTCAAGACATGCCTATAGGCTCTGCTCACCGGCCGGTGCAAAATAGTCTTGGTTGACATGTATGGTCACAGATTCGACCAATCGCAATGGAGATTGAAACGCCGACCTGGGATTTTGGCGTTCGCGGTGCCAACGCCACCTTTAGGGTTTAACAGCTTCCAACGCCAACGGGTGACACTGGCGTTTCCATCGCAAGCCCAAATATAACGAGATATGGAGCTGAAGCAGTGGTGCTGAAAAGACCATGGGTGCATGGTCATGTGTGGAACCAATGCAATGGAGATTGAAACGCTGACTTGGGACGCTGGCGTTCGAGCTCCCAACGCCGCCGTGCCAGGCTGGCGTTTTTAGGGTTTAACAGCTACCAACGCCAACGGGGGAGGTTGGCGTTTCCATCGCAACCCCAAATATACGGAGGTTTTGGAGCTGTACTATTAATCCTGAAGGATCATGGGTGTATTGTCATGTATGGTCACAGATTCGACCAATCGGAATGGAGATTGAAACGCCGACCTGGGATGTTGGCGTTCGTGGCGCCAACGCCACCGTGCAAGGCTGGCGTTTTTAGGGTTTAACAGCTTCCAACGCCAACGGGGGACATTGGCATTTCCATCGCAATCCCGAAATCCCATGATCCTTCAGGATTACGGGTACAGCTCCAAAACCTCCTTATATTTGGGGTTGCGATGGAAACGCCAACCTCCCCCG